TTTTTGTTCTTAGGAACAAATATGCTACTAAATATATTTCATTCAGTGTCCACAAAGGGATGCAAATTATCATAAAATATTGCAATGTAGTCAATCAAATGTTTAGAGTGAGCAGCTGGCCCAATCCATGCAATATGAGCAAAACTAATATCATTATGGAACGGCAATCAGCCTACACGCGTTATCTTAATCAGACAATTTCTTCACGGGACTTTAACAAATGGGGTCTAAGTCACACCCAAACCCTACTATTACTTAGCAACTAAGGCATTCTTTGGTTCATGAACATAAGTTTTTATATTCATCTTTGGCCCAAAGCAGCGGGAATTGATCAACTTGATTATATAGGTCCCGGGTAAGACATTGTGGAAGTTGTTATCAGTTGCCTTACTTGTGGAATAAACGGTCTTAAGTAAGGTGTTGAGATGTCACATAATATGGTTTACCACCAACAGTGTTAGCTATAAGTTTGTTTATATAACTTTTTTATTTCTGTGTTACACTCTTGTTGCTCAATGAGGGATGGTAAATTGCGGTAATTTACACTTACTGCATATGCTAACCTTAAAAAGCCAGTTAGCAACAATGTTGTTCTTTCCCCGAATATATGCAACATATTCAGCAATCAAAGACGGGTGGCTCTTTTAATTGATCGATTTCTTTGGTGTTGTTTTATGTTAAGCCAATAATAATGGTTCGGGATACGTGTACATGTCTCCCGTCAAAATATGCGGTTAATAATTCCCGGTGAAATGGAAATAATTTTTGTTGATTTTCTGAACGATTCCTCTAAGGACTGGTTTGCTGTCGATCAAGAGGTTATACAATTTCTGGAACCGTGTTTATCAAAACCTGACGTATAGACCATACAATGTGTATATACTTGTAATAGTATTGGATCATTTACTCTATCAGTCTATCGCTTTTATTGTTTAATAGGGGGTCATAATAACGAGGAAAATAATCACTTAAATGGGGAAAGGGCAGTGTCAGCAACAATTACAGTTCATCTGTATGAGGGGTAAATTTCTGGAATGTCAATATCGATAGAAGTATTTTTTCCATAGCATGGGATATCCTGTCCGCTAGATTGGATATCCTGTCCGCTAGATTGGATATTCTGTCTGTTAGATTGGATATTCTGTCCGTTAGCAGAAGATAAATGGACGGGTATAGGATTTCGGCTTAACTATCTTATTTGTATGAAAAAAAATGTGTAAATGAAAAAAAACTTACATTTGCTGTGTTGAACATTTTGGTTGCACCCTCAAAAAGCAGTGAACACCCACCCCATGATTTTTCCGGTCAGGAATTGTTCTTGTTAGGCAGAGGGATTCTGGTTGATGAGGCTGACCTGGAATTTTATATGATTTTACACAGTTTTTTTCGACCATGGTTTAAACTAGCGTTTACAAGTTTGGGATTTTTTCAAAACAAATATGTCCACAGTATATGTTGGGGTTCTGATTTTCATAATCCAGTAGCTACCTCAGTTTATGAGGGTGCTGTAGCTCGTGAGTACCTTTAGAAAAGTTTATGCCAACTTGACTCATATGAAAGCTATCAATTCGTCGACGAAAGTTTTTATTTCAGCCAAGATGAGGTTCTCACCTGCAACGATAACTGACCTCATAGTGGATAACAGTGCTTGTGTGAAACGGTGTCTGTCCACACTCTCTCTTACTTCCGATTTGTTGGCTGTCACAATTAACTCCCTCAAATAATGATAGAGTCTATCTATCATTCTTGTTTCTTGGATTAGCTTAATAAAAATATTAGGTTTCGTCTTTTCGTAAGTGGAAATAGCAGTTTCTTTGGATCTGTCATATTTTGATGGGAAAAGAGTTGTGTGTGTGAATGCTCTCTGTTTTTTTAAATTAATGCTTATCATTACAGTTTATAAGTGGGCTTACCCTGTCATTCTAACAATATCTCACTTTGATTTGATCAATTTAGAAATTTTTTTGGAGTAATTCTTTATTCGTTTTTTACAATTTAAAGATCCTCAGTGAGTGACTTCCGTTTTCCTAAGATATCGTAATAGTCATAATCTTCCAATTGATTTGCAAGAATTGGAATTTTGATTTCGACGTAAGTTTTAACTCCACGAAACCAAGTTCTTTCAACAACGGATAAAATTTAGTTTCGTAGGGAACTTTTGCCATTGCTAATAATGATTTGATGTTTGTCAAACATTTTTTATGCAACATTATTTTCTAAATAACTTAGTTGCTGTGGTAATTTCTCAGTAATTTCTTGCAAATGAAATATATTGCAATTCTTTTAAAAAAGAAATATATCAACAAATAATTATGATACAAAAAACATACATAAAATGCAAACTTTTATCAACAGAACTTTGCACTTTTTCAAAGTTGTATGGAAAAAATAAAATATGAAAACTCCACAAGTGGTAAAATGAAATTTAAATATCTTATGAAACAAAAAACAATTTGAAACTCATAAAAGTTTCGATGTAGCTGAAAACGCATATATTGTTTTACCCTGTGAACTAGATTTCTACAAAAATCAGTCAATCCTAGGAAACAAAAACTCACACCATAGGAGTAATAAATTTGAGCTTGTGTTCACGAGGAAAAACAGAACAAACAAACGTACACAATAATAATAAAAAATGGCAAACTGTATGGTAATTTTATACATTTTTATTTATGCGTTTGTGTGTATTGGTGTGTGTGTGCGTGTGTGTTTTACTTTACAATTGTGATAATGTTCATGTTATAAAAGGAGTAAGTTACTCCGTAATATCACAAATCCTATCACAGAGGGAAGTTACACACGTGTTGTCATCCCGACAGTTCTTGGGCGAAGTGATTGAATCTCACGTCTTTTGACGGGATGTCTGTACTTCCGGCAGGAGCAGTCCCTGTTGCATGCTGGAAGTAATTTTATTTTCTATTTATTTATTTTAAACGGGGTTTAAATTTTATTTTATTTATAATTTTCACTATTATTTTATATTTTATTTTTATTTATAATAATAACAATGTCCCTATAATCTTAGTGGTGGCGTATGTATCATGTAAAAAACTTTAGTACACTGGGAAAACATCGTAACCTCAAGTATAGTGAAATGTCACAGATTTGAAGTCAGAGGAAAAATTATAGAACCATAAAACAGATATGCGTATATGAAATCATTTACTCTTTGTTTCATAGACGATGCTCTTTTTGGTACAAGTTAAATAATGTGGTCGAGCTGAAATGCGTGTAATGTCATAGAAACTGAAGCTGTTACAGTTACATGTTTGAATAAAAAGTCAATTTAACTTCTTTTACCGCTTTTTCTTTCATTTTAGTCTTTTAAACAAGCATTAAATATATTAATTAGAAGAATTTAGCACCAAATAACAGATAATTGTCTTTCTAAACTCAAAATGGTAACTCTGTTACTGCAAGCATATGTTGCTATGAATTCTTAACCTGTTTCCGTGAAGTTACACGCATATTAGCACGGATCACAATTCTTGACTTGTGCCCTCATTTTTATACTTGAATTTTCACACACAAACTGTTTTATCTTTTTCTTTATGTTACTCATATGAAGACGTAGACTAAGGAGACAAAAATACATTTTTGATAGTATGTACAAAATGACTTTGAAAATTAACATAACAATTATTAGGGGCCCACTGGTAATATTAGATGTAATTTAAACATTAGTATTAATTTTTGACTAGTTCTTCTTTCATCTTCTTTCTGCTGCTTTTTATTTCATTTTTCAGATACAATCCTAGAATAACGATCTGAGATTTTAAAAAAAAGCGTGAGAAATGAGATAAAGATGTACTAATCAAAGATTAATATTATAAAAACCAAAAAATAAAAATAAAATTTTCGTTGTTTACCATTGGCGTTTTGACCTAGTTGTAAAAGTAGTAAATGCTACGAACCGCACATTTTCGAGGGTCCTGAATTAAATACTTTCAAGTTATCTGACGAACCCGGAATCTTGCGACTCGACAATGTTAATGTTTACATGAAAAGGAGGCTGTGTATTTAATGTATTTTATCATTTCATATTATTTCGAAGCCATTAAATCTGCTCAAATGTATCGTTAGAATCATCTGACTCGTGTTTTTTGTTCATAGAAATCAAATATAATTTATGTTGATAGAAGTTAAAATATTCATGTTTTATAAGCCCAATCGCTTTTCTAGTAAATAATCTCTGATTTAAAATTTATGCGAACATTTTTTTTTTGTAATTTAGGACCCTTTATAACGTATTCTACCTCTGCACTGACTTAATCCGGCCCTATTGGTTATAAGGATTTTCGGTAATCCTTTACTTAAGCGGCGTAAAATAAACTGCTATTCCCAAAACGGGGTAAAATCAATAAGAGCAAGGTATATACGTTTATTACAATTAAACATTATTACAATGGGTAATGGTGGGCGACGCAGAATATAAATGCTGGAAACAAGAGACTGTTCTTGCATCGAAATTGAAGAAAATCCCTTAATATTGGATCGGTGATTGCGCTGGTGGTAGGCTGTTTCGAATGAGACGTCGTTGTGCTAACCAACAACGCAGCAAGCTTATAGGCTCCCTAAAATGATTGCCAAGCTCCAATACGCACCAATCTTCTTGTAATAATAATTCGTTCGGATCGACTATTGACTGTGAGCCACTTGGTTTATTACGTAACATGGCTGAAATGAAACAGGACTGTTTATTTTACGTCGTTTAAGTGATACAGAACATTGACAGATTATTTTACGCCGCTTAATTCGTTCAATTGATCTAGTTTTTTTACAGCTTATCAACCTTTTGAAATATTTTAGATTGTAGAATTTTTACAAATAATAATTATTTAGTGATACACGTCTTACTAATTAACCCATAGCTGGGAGGAGAAAAGGTGGATTCATAACTTTCCCAGGTAAGTAAATATGACGAATTCAACTGGAATTGGAACTCAGCTTCCCGATTAACAATTCCGTGTCGTCATCCATTACATCTTTACACATCCAAGCTTACAATACCTAGTATTCCAAGCAGTCACCCATCTAGGTACTGATCAGGCTCGGCGTTGCTTAACTTCAGTGATCGTACGAGAACCGATGTTTCAACATGATATGGCTGTAAGCCCTTCACACCGCTTAAGTGAAGGATTACCAGATTCTCATATTTAAATTTGCTTACATTTCAAGTTAAATTTGCATTTTAATCATCGATTTCAAACTCCAACTTCAAACGGTAACAAAATTTCTTACGCATAAAGAATTAAATAAAAAATTGCATAATGTTTCAATATTATATAATTTAATTTTTTAAGAATATTTTTAGCATGTACACATTAAGCTAGAAAAATGTGCGTGATAAAAAGAAAGGCAAAGTTTAACAAATATACTCGCAAAAAACTGTGTTTAAAGGGTCGTTTTTCTCTTGACATTGCTATTACTATATATTCTCACGTCAGTTTTTATTGTTTTAAGAAGCTAATTTAGAATTTTAAACTCAAACATATGAACATAGATTTATGTCGCGAGAGCAAGTGAACAAAGTGCATCTTTCTTTCTTTCTTTTTTCTTCAAAATTTACAGTTACAGACACTCGTCTTTGTGTCTATATAAATTTTCTTGTATCTTCTTATACATTTTATAAATTTATGAATAAAAAATTGTTTTGGTAGTTACTTTTTTATAATATGGTAAATAATAAATATTGCATGGTAGTTAATTCTTATAAACTTGTAAATATAAAATTATTCTTGTAAATAAATAATCTAATAATTAATGTTTAATATTTTTGTCAATATTTAAGAAAAAAAAAGAAAATACATAAAACAAGTTTTATGTTCTGAGTTTTATTAAAATTCTAAAAGTAACTTTTTAAAACAAATATTTCCGAGGTAGTATCCAACAAAAGTGATGTCAAGTGAAAAACCTTTTTGACATCATTTTTCTTTTTTGTGGATACATTTGTTAAACTTTGCTAAAAGAAAGATATACTGTAGATCACCTGTGATGACTTTAGGCAAGGCTCAATTTATGCCATCGTTGAGTGACAAGAATTTAATTTTCTCATGTGTTTTTCGCGAAAATCAATCAGCGAAATTTGTTCGTTCTTTTGTTAATTTAGTAAAACAACAAAAACAAGATAGAAAATGTTTTCTTGGTGTTACTGTTATCAAATTTATTTTATTTATTCTGAATAAAATATAAATATTGATCATCTGTATTGTTTCAAAAAATCTACAGTTTTGTTATTTAAAAAAATCAGGCAGCAGAATTTAATTTTCGACAAAGTTAGATTAGACACATCAAATCCAACAATGTTATCATTTCCTGTACATTTGTTTCGACAGATATTGAACCATTTTTTCGTTTTCCTTTTAATAGAGAAAGGAAAGAAAATAATACCTACGTCTCTTTCAAAATACCGGATTGGCGTTGTTGCTGAGAATTGTCGAGCATAAACATTACATTTATAAAAAAAAAAAAAAAAAAATTTATATTCCCTAAACTTAGATTAGTACGCCACAACGACATATAGGCTATAATCCGGTGAGGATCGAACTCAAGTCGTAACACATAAGTACCTCTACGGACTAAAAAAACCGATTTAAACTAATTTTTGCGTTAAGGTTAAAAATTGCACTTTTATTTGAAAAACAATAGACAACAAAAGAGAAATTAAAACACTCTTAAAATCTATTGAAAATCCAATACGTTCCAGACATTTGTTTCGAATAGTAAATTTAAGGATTAATTAGATTTTGTAAAAATATTTCTTACTTTTTGCAAACAAATAATACATTTTCTCTGCAGGATGTGCCTTACTTCTAAACACGCTCAAGTGTCAGACGACTGTTATCTTAAAACCCTGCTCCCACTTTCGAAAATTCGCGCCATAAATCAATTCAAATACCGAAGCACATCTATTAGAAAACTGTTGAAATATTTTTCAGGTCAGTTGCAACCTCTTAGACAAGAAGAGATTTTTCTTTATCTTTGTACTTTTTGTAAGATTAATAAAGATGTTGTTGTCATTAACAGAGAAAAATACTATCAAATTTTATTTTCGATTCTCATTTTTGATTTTCGGTAAAATAAAAATAAAAAACAAAACTAAAACAGTTGTAAAAAGTGAAAATTAAAATTATTTAAGAAATGTTCACACTGGAAAATGGCATAACATTTTTCGATTCTTCCAACACATCTTTATTTTTATGTCAAGTTTATCAGCAACGTGTTTTAAATCTTATATTTTTTCACAAACAAATATAGTTTATTTTATTAGGAAAATGAATGTGGAAGAAAATTCTGTGTAACACGTTTCGTCGTTTAGAAGGACTACATGGGACTAAAAAAGTAATGTTTTTGTTGATGGAATTATGTGTATGAAGGGAAAGCGGATATATAAAAACGCGACCTTCGGTTACATTATACAATTATGCACCGATAGGAAACACTGAAGAAGAGGTTGGAACACTGAAATTTTAATTATATTTTATTAAAATTAGGTATCAGCAACTTTCCACAAAAATCTTTAAGATTTCGGATAATATTTTTGAAGTGTTCACAGTCGATATTAAATATTTTCAAATTACATAACAGTGTTATTTATGTAATTTGAAAATATTTGTTAACACCTTCAGCTTTACAAAATTTGATAGGTAGTGAATATTGCTATTAGTTGGGAACGTACTCTAATTACTTACTTGCTAACCATTACACTACAACGTGATAATGGTTAGCAAGCTTGTTTCGTTAGATCAATTATGACTGAGTAGGGAGTTCGATCCATAATTTCGGCTTTGTGTCACATCTAGGCGACGCTTAAACTTAGTAAATCACAATGTTTCTATTCGTTCCCCCCCCCTGTATGCGCACGCGCGTATCTCTCCTGTCCATTTGACATCAAGAGTTAAAAAAAAAAAAAAGCAGGGGAAAAAGGGTATGTAGGAAGAAAAGCAACTACCAAGTGAAAGACAAGTACAGAAAAACCAAAAGGAAAAAAAAAACAGTTGAAAGAATACACCTTCCAACGGAGGAGACCATAGACGTCTTCAAACAAACTAAGTTGATGGAAACAGGGGAAAAAAACAGACATTATTCTTATTCTAGCTAGTAGTGTACTTACACAAACACGCAAGAATGAATATTTTTTTGTCTGGTAAGCGACCACCGATGTTGATAAATACCTTTGGAATCATGCTGATAGGTAAGTTCGTAAGTACAATTATCACTTGTTCAATAACATTTTTAAGTGGTACTCAAAACACATGCATTTTTAGGGATATGCTACAATACATGCTATACCAAGATATTGAATTCATGTGTTTGTTGATGTATTGTAACTTCTGTATTACGCCATCAGAGATACTTGAATGCTCTGTTGTGGCTATTCATGCACAAGAGCCACACAAATTCAACAGGAAGACGATGTGTACAGACTCTTTGTTACAACCAGCATGGGCAAGTAATCCCTGCCACCTGTAGTAGACCATAAAGTTGTACCTTAGAGATTTAAATGTAAATAAAAACGACAGAAGATTACGTATCATCCCTCTAAAAACTGTATACTTCCTCTTCTAGACTTTACAAAAAAAAAAAATCAATGTCTTGTAATCTTCAATTTGTTTTAAAACTGATTCTACTGATGCATGTACAATAGTGTTTAAGTTTACTGTTTAGTTTAAATATCTCGATTAGATTGTTGAGTCCGTAGATTCAATGGTCACCCTTCTCACTGAGGCTGTAAAAAATAAATAAATAAATAAAATTAAAAATATATAGATAAAAAAATGTATATACCTGTCAGTAGATAACGTGACTGTTGGAAGTGAATTGATGAATTAAGTTAGAAGTTGCGAAGTGAAAAAAATGTATTTTCACCTCTGAAGAGAAGAAAAAATTAAAAAAATATAATGAATGACTGAGGAATTTAAGAAATACTCTCTAAGTGAAATAAAATAAGTTGGTCAAATAAAAACGATAGAAAAATAATTTGCGATTAAAATATATCCGTAGAGTGAAAGTTTAATTTTTTCGCCGAAATATATTTGTGCTGAAAAGCAAATGAAGTGGGGGGGGAGAGGTACGAGCAGTGAGAATGAAAGTTAAAAAAACTGATGCACAAAGGAAAAAGTATGGTGCAAGAGAGAAAACGAAGTTTGTGAATTGATTTTAAAAAGAGGAAAGCATAAAAACAAACATAAACCAAATTATTTCAAGAGAATAAAAAAAAACTTATCAAATTTAACTTTAAACTTGATTTATGACACAATCAACACATAAGAAAAGGACATTTAAAACTGTCAAAAAAAAAAAAAAAAACTAACGATTTCAAGTGCAACCACAATAAACGTTCGTAAAGACTTGTTATCATTTTATTTATTATTATTAGTGATTTTTTACAGGTTTCATCGTGGTGTAAATGTTAGCAAATTTAGGTTCTCTCAGGAAGAGACAGTTGAAATTTTGGGGACACAAATATGAGGAAGAAGGCTTGGAAAACCTGTTACTCACGGGACAGAAGAAAACAACGCATAATAATACTTGACGAGCTTGAGAAAATGGATGGTGGAACAGGATTTAGAAAGAAAAACAACAGAATTTATTTTATTTAGAAATACAAGGGTCCGGAAATTGTGGAGAGCCATGATCGCCTGAGGGGACACGGTACGTAAAGGAGTCCGATCATTACGGGGTTTGGTGAAAAGTGTAGAACAAAAAAGTTTTGAGAACAAAAGTGAAATAAACGTGTAAGACTAAGATAGATATGTCCAGTAAGAAAAGAAAGACTTAACAAATGAAAAATCACAAAAGAAACTATTTAAACTTGACGATGTTATAGTCGGGAAATGACAGGCCGGAATATCCACACGGCACACACGAAACCTCGGAGGAACAATGAATGAAAGAAGGAATGAAAAGAGGAAGGGAAATAAATGCACAATAAGAAAAATAGAAGACGAGAATTTCCTCTTTCTCTCCCTCTCTGCCAAGCCATCTGGTTAACTGTGACTATCCGCTGAGTACTGCAGTGATAGCTCTTCTTACCTATTCTGTACACAGAGGGATCGCTTGAACGTGTTATTATTTCATGTGTCTCTGATTAATACCCAGAAACTAAAAGGA